AAGGTCAAAGTCAAGGTCATCATAAGGTAGCTCACTTAAATCCCTACAACTTTTATTCACATCATTTTCCTTGAGACTTCAATACTGAAGAGTTATTTGAGGTGGGACATTAAAATGGGACACCTTGTATAAGTGAAAAGCGATTTTTTCATAGAAAGCAAAACTTTATTCTCCAATATATTGTCCGTTTAATTCAATGACCCTTTGGCATCTATTTGGTAGCTTCATGATTTCGTCCTCATAAAACTTCGGGTCCTTATCGACAAAAAAGTGATCCAAGTACTTTTTGCTAACCTCAGAATCGAATTTTTTTCCCTTCAAAGAATTTTGCAAGAAACGAAATGAATGATAATCTCATGGTGCAAGATCAGGCGAATATGAGGTATAGTAGAATATGGGTATAGTAACACATCCCATCCAAGCTGCAATAATTTCTGGCGGGTAACTAACGATATACAAGGTGTACCATTTTAATAGTGCACCTCGATTATCATTGCAGAAAATGCTGGGATGGAAAAATGTTTTAGACAAAAGTTGTATGGTTTTGAGGGGAACATAAGATGGTGCCATTAGTATGACCTTGAAGTTAGTTGCGTTAGTTGCTTGAAGGTCAGGTGAAAATCACCTCCAATTTCTTAAATAAAACCACCTACTTTTCATGACATATTCTTCTAGCTTACATCGAAAGTTTTCCAGAAACCTATAATAAAGTACCTTTTTGTTAAATATTTTTTAACTTATAAGACAAGATCGGGACACGGTCCAGCTGGTCAAGGCAAGATCGATAAGTGATCCAACCTGTCAAGGCAAAATCTGGGCTTGCGTTTAATTACTTCAGGTGTTCAAAAACCTGGCTACTTACTTGTATGCATAGCTCCAGTCTATATCGAAAATCGTCGCTAACTTTTTGAAGAACACCTGTATTAATATTTCTGCATGCTCTTTGATACAATCTTTCATTTTCTATAGTCGTAGGTTGTTCCGGAAAAACTTTGTCTTTAATGTATCCTCAGAAATAAAAATCTAAAGGCGTCAAGTCGATTGATCTTGAAGACCATTTTTGAATTAGGCTGCCCATACTAATCTACCTATTCGAGAATCTTTCATTTAAGTATTCTGTAACGGCTCGATATCCATGAGCCGGTACTCCGTCTTGTTGAAACTATCAACTCGATCATTCGGTTGAGTATGTCATTATCGACATGTCTCAACAGGTTGGGCAGGTCATTTTGAAGAAATCTTAAATAGTTTGCCGTACTGACGTTATCTTCAAAGAAGTATGGACCCACAATCATATCTCTCAGAATGCCTACCCAGACGTTAAATAGACCACTGCCTTTGGAACTCTCGGCTTCTTTGCCAATGTGGATTCACATCTGAATAATAATGACAGTTATGTAAATTAACGCCGCCTCTGCTGCAGATCGTGGCTTCATAAGAAAAGAGGATATTAGCTATGAACCGGGGGTTTACTCGGGTTTGATCTTGAGTCTAGTTACAAAAATGTATACGGCGTTGGAAATCCCTCCCTTCTAATTGTTGGATTAGGTGGATATGGTATGGATGAAACTTGTTGACCTTGAGCACACGATTGGCTGCTGATTTGGGTATACCGTGTTGCTTTTCAATTTGTCTCGTAAAGATTTGAGGATTCAAAATAACGGCACCTGCAACAGCCAACGATGTGACCTTGTTAGGGTCCGATTTTTGACATATTTGTTTAAGAATGCTTTGTTTAGGTTTGTCGCAAAATTTCTTTATTATCCTCCTATCAGGATAACGTCTGTTTGAGAATTTTTCAACATAAAGCCTTCCTATTGCCGAGTAATTATTTCTGGCCTCACCCAACGCACAAATCATATCCACAATTTTATTTGGTGGATAATCGGCCATAATTATAATAAAAAATAAAACTATTATAATAAGAAAACAAAAAACTTCGCAAAAAGTTTCTATCCTAACAAGAAAAAATTAGTAGATAATAATCTGACTGCTTTTCTTACAATAAATAAATTTCCACTATTTGTTTAGATCAGAAACTGCGCGACCTCACTGACAACTATCTGTAAGCGTAAGCGGAATATAAGTCCGAAGAACGATATGTTTTTAACATAAAATTTTCTCTATCGTTTCCTGAATTTTTGAGTCGTTTACCGATTTTGCCTTAACCGGCCGGACCGTGCCCGATCTTGCCTTATAAGTTAAAAAGTTAAAAGTATTTACAAAAAGGTATTTTGTTATAGGTTTTCGGAAAGCTCTCGATGTAAGCTAGAATAATCTGTCATGAAAAGTTGGTAATTCTATTTAAGAAATTGAAGGTGACCTTCACATGACCTTCAAGCAATTATTCAAGGTCACACTAATGGCACCATCTTATGTCCCCCTCAAAACCATATTTTGTCTAAAACCAATTTTTGTCTAAAACATTTTTCCATCCGAGCACTTTCTGCAATGATAATTGAAATGCACTATTGAAATACCTTGTATACAGGGTGCTAAATTTCAAACGGAAAAAATCTCGAATACTATGAAAGATTAAAAAAGCTTAAACACCTGTTCCATAATTTCGAAGGGGAAAGAGAATGGCATTATCAGTTTTTTATTTGGAGGGCATTTTCAAAGTCAGTTTAAGGTCAACTTAATTTTTTAAAATAGATAACCCAATTTTTTATTATATCTTCTTTTTCTACCAATTAATTTTAACAACTTTTGTCTGAAACAATTATTTGCCTAATATTTTTTGAAATATTTAAGGAAAACTCATTAACTTTTTCAACATTTAATTTACGATATTTCGCTAACTATTCGTCGAATGAAAAAATAGTATTAGACTTTTTTACTTTATTTACTATCAAGAATATATTAAGAATACATTCAAGAATATATACTACAATATAATAATGCCCTAACTTTTGTTAATTTAATAATTTTGAAATTTCCAAAGGTCGATAGTCGATAAGAATATATTGGTACAATATTGCTCTGTTTGTGTTAATTTATCGATCTTTCGAAATTTCAAAATCATCCAGTTAACAAAAGTCAGAGCGCTATTGTAACAATATATTCTTGAGACCAAGTAGAATAGAAAAGTCTAGTACCATTTTTTTATCCCGACAAACAGTTAGCGAAATATCGTAAGTTAAATATTAAAAAAATTACCAAATTATTCTTAAATATCTGAAAAAATATTAAGCAAATAAAAAAATATCTCAGACATAAGTTTCAAATTAATTGGTGGAAAAAGATGGTGTAATAAAAAATTAAAGTTTTCATTTAAGATTTTTATGTCGACCTTGATAACGTTTCTCAAGGTTATTCCAAGGTCAAACAATTATTAATATCTGATAGCTTTTTTTAAGTCCTACAACTTTTGTTCCAAATATTGTTTTAAACAATCATTATTTTTTGAAATAATTAACCGTTCTGGAATTTTTGCCAGATCCTGTATGTGGTATGTAGAATATATACGATGGAGTAGAATCGAATTCTAAAAGGAAGATTCTCAAAATTTGGAGAGAAAAGTAAAGAAAATTGATAACGATGAGCGTTGTAGAATGGATACTATATGCTTTCTGTAACAAATCATGGATATATCAATGCTAGTTATCTCTAAAAAAGAAATATATAATTATTTCCAGAGAAAATATTTGCCAATCCTAGCAGTATAATTGAACTATGTTGCGTGTTAAAGCTATTTTGCCGACTGTGTACCTTAGTACAGTTGATGTATTACTCATTCTTAACCTTTCAATACGTAAAATATTCTTGGCTTGGCGTCATCTGTTGTCCGAAAGTAACAAAGTTCGAGAATACTTGTTCTTGCACAACGGTCACGAACATTCTTGCGTAACAAATCGTATTATAAAATTTATTTTAATATATATAAATATTTTTATTTATCATAATATAATTTAACCCGAACTCAGATTTAAGCTTCAGCAAAGTTTATTAAGTACAAATCTTAAATATCAATATAAATGTTTAAAATATGTCGCAAAAATATTTAAAGGATATCTAAAATAAGTAAAATATCTTTTGGACCTCTAAGATATCTTTAGATATTTATATTCTCGTGGATGTGATTTTTCATATCAAATTGTCGATTATAATCCGTTCGCTAATAACATCAAATACATGTGTTGTACCAAACTTGCACTTCAAGAGTTCATCTTTGCTCAAAATTTTCAATTCTATGTAACACGTTCGCTACTAATGCTTCGCTACTAACGTTCGCTATTAACTAATTATATATGTGTGATAGCAATAATTTTTCTCCTTATATTTATACAGAAACAAAATCTGTTTTACACAATTACATATAAACAAGTATAGTATAGGCTATAGAAAGAGTTGCCCAAATAAACTATATTAACAATCATTAATACCGCTCAACTAAATATTGGAAGAAGAAAATAGTTATAATTTTCGTCAATAAAATTATATTATATTTTAAAATAAAATTAAAATTATATTATAGGTTTTAAATGCAAATACTATATTTTCCTGTTCTAGTAAAATATTAGGAGTAGCAATATACATGTTATTATTACTAACACATTACAATGTAATACTTACTACATATGATTCTAGCTATAACTCTTTCATTACATGACTGTAATCACAAATACTAAACATTTTTCTTCAGTATACATGAGTGATTGACGGGCGTCGACTTTAATCGACGATCGTCACCGAAGATGATTTCAATTCATGTTTGAAGAGCGCGTCCGTGATTATTCACCTTTAGGATTATATTACAATCGAAACGAAAAGAAAAAGAAACTTCGGACTCAATAATAAGTTATATTCTGTTATTTTTCTGGGGCTTACTATTCGACATACTTATTTTATCGGCTAAATAGTTCAAACACATTTCTTGGTAAAATGGTACGGATGCATAAGATGAGGATTTCTCGAGAAGTCGGTCGTTTAGAAAACCACGCGCATTATCATAATGAGAGTCACGTTTTCATTAGATAAGCACAACGCTTATAAATTCGCGATGGCACGCGACGGTGTTAATAATTGCACGGCAGTCGTGGTGGCAACATGAACCGAATCGCTGTTACATTTGCGCTATTATGCGCCTTGTCGTCCACTCTTGCCTTCGATTTCGAAGATTGCGGTGAGTACATGTTTATTTTGCATTCTAGTTAGGTTATCGAGATTCATAACGTTCATTAATTAGATTTAGTAACCAAACTAAAATTAAATATGAAACGTCGAATAGCAATTCAAGGAGAAGAAAGTAGACAAATAATTGTATTCGTTGATTTCAAATGGATTTTACTTTAAAAATTTTGAATTTTGATTTTCTTTCTGAAGTTACGTTTGAAATTAAGGATATAATTTTGTCAGGAATATTTTTTTTCTTTCAAATTTCAACTAAATATATTTGAATTTTGAGCCTTTGAATTTTGAATAGATTTTAATTTTAGGCTTTGAATTTTTACCTTAAACTGGATTATGGACATATATAATTTATAAAAATATTAAACAAGCGTGTTAAAAATTAAAGAGGCACATTTACCGAAGACGAATTTTTTGAAGAACGGGAGATAAATTTATGTTCATCATTTTACGTTTATTAAAAATAAATTTTTTCGCAATTGAGTTCTTGTGATTTCATTACAATAGTATATTATTAATTATCTATCGTTATCGGAGCTTTTAGCGTTAATTGCTAATTGTAACAGCAGCGTCCATACCAAGAATCCTTGATTGAGGATTATGCGTTTAATGGCATTGGAAGTTATTAGCAACGTTATGCAGGAACATTATGCTCAATGTCCTTAATTAAGTGTTTTGGGATGTTTGTCGACGAAATTACATATGATTAATTTGCGATTTGTATTGCACGTAACTCTGTATCGTAATGTGTAGTGTAGTGATGTGTAATTGCGTTTAATTAGAGATTCGAATGCCTTAAAGATTTATTCGCGCTATTAATTGAACGTTCATAATTTCCGGTACTCGGATTATAGATATTCTCGACATTTGCGAGTATATTTATATTTATTACCTTCATTTAACGGAAAATCATCCTTTTTTAAAATCATCACATAATTAATTTGACAAAAGCAGTACAAATAATGGGTTTGTTCTTTATAGCTACACTGCTGAACTAGTGCAATAAGTTAAAAAGGGACAACTATATTTTTTTTCACTCTAATTTATTGCACTAGTTCAGCAGTACAGCTATAAAGAACAGACCCAATATAATATAATAAATAAGGAAAAAGAAAAGAAGATTACCAAAAAGGAAAATGAAGATAGAATATATACATATATATTGTTGTATCCGAGCCACAAGTTTGTGGCAGCGTCCGTTGTCCGTGAGCCTTAGGCATCTGATGCTGATTTTGACAACTGAACGAAGATTGTCTGGACGATGAAAAATCGATAAGAAGAAAACAACAACAGCTGACAGAGAGTCTCTGGCAAGCTGTCATCGTAGACAGACGCGAGAATTGTAGATCAGAGAATTATTCTTGTTTAAAGCTTGAGTGAGCTGCGCTATATATAGTAAAGCTTGTTATTCTTACGCGAGTGTTTTCATTTACCTGAGTGCAAGCGCGAGTGCGAGAGTGAGCTCAACAATATGTATATATATTGGGTCTGGGAAAAAGTTCGTGGCGTTTTTTAAAATTAAATTCAACTGGTTTTCTTATAGTGTGAAAATGAATTTATTTAAACCAAATATGCTCCATTATTATCGACAATGTTTCGCCATTTTTCGGATAGAGCCATAATGCCATCAGTGAAGAACTTCTGTGGTTTCTGGTTGAAAAACTGAATCAAGTTGTATTTACACATTTCTTTTGAAACCAGCTTAATTCCATTGAGAGAGTTCTGCAGAGATCAGAACAAGTGATAGTCAGGGGGTGCTATGTCTGGACTATACGGTGGATGCATTAAAACTTCCCAACCAAGCTCTCGCAATTTTTGACGGGTCATCAAAGAAGTGTGTAGTCGGGCGTTATCATGATGGAAGACAACCTTTCCTATTATTCAATTCAGGCCGTTTTCTTTCAATTGCCTGGCGTAATCTCTCTAGTTGTCCACAGTAGAGTTGAAAATCATTCGTCTAACCAACTGGAAGTAGCTCATGGTGGACGATTCTCTTCCAGTCCCACCACACACACAGCATCGCCTTTTTCGGCGTCAATCCTGGCTTCGCGAACGCTTATGACGGTTCACCATCCCTTGTCCACAAGGGATGGTGAACCGTCTTTGATCCTTCCACTTTGATGCTTCCGATTGTCGTACGTGATCCATTTTTCATCATCGGTTATGACACGTTTCAGAAATGGCTCGATTTCATTGCGTTTCAGCAGCGCATCGCAGATGTTAATTCGGTCTATCATGTTTTTCGCGTTCAACTCATGAGGAACCCATACATCGAGCTTCTTTTTGTAGCCAGCTTTATGTAAATGGTTCAAAACAGTTTTGTGGTCAATGCCTAGCTCCATACCAATATCGACATTGCTGATATGCTTATCTTGCTGGACTTTTTCAAGAATTTCATCAGCTTTTTCAGTGATTGGACGACCAGAGCGTGACTCATCTTTCATATCAAAATTACCAGAACGAAAGCGAGCGAATCGTTTTCGCGTAGCAGAATTTGATAAAGTACCTTCACCGTACATAGCACAAATTTTTTCACAAGTCTGCGCAGCGTTCTTCCCTTTGTCGTAATAATATTGCAAAATATAGCGCAATTTTTCATTACTTTTCTCCATTTTCAAACGCAAACAACTTTCCAAGCACTGCACCAATTTCAATGTTTATACACTCAAAGTAACGCTCGAAGTGTCACCTTTCCAACGAGCGTTTAGTAGTGTCACTGCGATCTGTGTATCCTGAGTTATTTGCAATTGACGCCACCTATCGGGAAAAACGCCACGAACTTTTTCCCAGACCCAATATATATATACAGGGTGCACGATTTATCTGAAGACAATGAAATATCTCGAGAACTATGCATTGGATAAAAAAAAGTGGTTAGTGAAAGTTGTTAGTCTCGAAGGGGGACATCCAATGATACCAAACTCGGCCTCCCACCCCACCCCCTGGGGGTGGGGGTTGGGGGTAACTTTGAAATCTTAAATGGAAATTCCCATTTTTTATTGCAGATACGGATTCTACGCCACAAACGCCACAAAATACGTAAATTTTGTCCGAAACTTCTTTTTTATTCGTGATAGATGGCGCTGTAATCGCAAAAAATTATATTTTCCGCAATTCTCCAGAAATGATCATTGGATTGAGAAATAAAAAATACCTGTTCAATATTTTTAAAGAACATAATAAAAGTTATTCCCTCCCATCCTCTCGGGGTAGGGTGGGTGATAACGTTCAAATCTCAAATGGGGACTCACATTTTTCATTGCAGAATTAGATTGTACGTGAAATTTTTATTGAAACAATTTTTTTCATTCGTGATAGATAGAGTTGAATTTTTCCGAGGAACTACTTTTAGCGTTACACAGGAACAACGACGAGGACGTAGTAGTTTTATGTTCCCTTCGGGTGCTTTTTTAATGTGAGTCCCCTTGCCTCTCACAGATCGGGGTGCTTTTTTAATGTGAGTCCCCTTGCCTCTCACTGTTCAATTAATTAGAGTAAGTGTCCGAAATTTTTACCTTCAACTTCAATACACTTATTGATCCTTTTTTCAAATGACTGTACACAGGATAGAAGCATATCTGCGGGAGTTTCAGCGCAAGTGTTTCTTATGCGTTCTACCATGTTTTCACGAGTTGTTGGCACTTGTTGATAAACCTTATCTTTTAGGTAACCCCACAGAAAGAAATCCGGCGATGTCAAATCAGGCGACCTAGCAGGCCAATTAATCGAGCCACCTCTGTCAATCCACCGACCATTGTAATCACGGTCTAATACTTCCCGTGCTGCTATTGAATTATGCGCTGGGCAACCGTCATGCTGAAACCACATATTTTGTCGAACGTCCAAGGCAACTTCATCAAGTAGTGGTGGTAGTTCCTGTTCCAGGAAATTTCGATATTTGATTCCATTCAAATTACCTTCAATAAAATAAGGACCAATGAGTCTGTTCCCTATGATTCCACACCAAACGTTAACCGACCAAGGACGTTGATGTTCAACTTGTCGTAACCTGTGGGGATTTTCTACACTCTAGTAATGCATGTTATGTCGATTAATGCCACCATGGTTTGTGAATGTAGACTCATCTGAAAATAGTACATTAGCAATGAAATTGGGGTTCGTTTGCATTTGTTGAAGTGCCCATTCACAAAAGACCACTCGATTATGAAAATCATCGCCATGAAGTTCTTGATGCAGTGAAATGTGATATGGGTGATACTTATGACGATGCAATATTCTGCGAATACTATCTCCGGAAATTCCGAAATCGCGATGTAATTGCCGAGTGCTTACCTGTGGGTTGTGGTGAACAGCTGCTAGCACAGCTATTTCATTAACTTCTGTAACAGTTGTTCTTCGTTCTCTTTTTTTAGTTTGTAATACGAGCTGCCATACGAGATAAAGGCAGTCACAACTTTGTAAAAAAAAGAACGTGAGCGAACATTGTCTGGAAAACGCTCAGCATACAAGGCAACAGCATCGTCAACATTCCTCCTACATTCATCATAAATCAGAATCATTTCAATTTTTTCTTCTACGGTTGCAGAATTCATTTTCCACTTGCAATTCTGTTCAAAGAATGAAGGGTAGATATGCAGGTAATAAAAACTAGTCCGGTAAAATGAAATTGTTAGAGATGCTTTCAGTTCTAATTCTGAAAGAAAAGTGAGCTCTGATCGCATTGCACTGCCTTTTATAATAAGCCGTAGTTCGCCATACACCCACAGTGGCACGTCGAGCAGTTCGCTCTTCGATTCGGGTCCCCATTTGAGATGTGAAAGTTACCACCCACCCTACCCCGAGAGGATGGGGGGGAAATAACTTTTATGATGTTCTTTAAAAATATTGAACAGGTATTTTTTATTTCTCAATCCAACGATCATTTCTGGAGAATTGCGGAAAATATAATTTTTTGCGATTACAGCGCCATCTATCATGAATAAAAAAAAAGTTTCGGGCAAAATTTACGTATTTTGTGGCGTAGAATCCGTATCTGCAATAAAAAATGGGAGTTTCCATTTAAGATTTCAAAGTTGCCCCCAACCCCCACCTCCAGGGGGTGGGGTGGGAGGTCGAGTTTGATATCATTGGATGTCCTCCTTCGAGACTAACAACTTTCACTAACCACTTTTTTTTATCCAATGCATAGTTCTCGAGATATTTCAATGTCTTCAGATAAATCGTGCACCCTGTATAGTACCTACCAAAAGTTCGGGGCCACCTAAATAATTTTTGAACGGTTTAAAATATAGAATTGAAATTTATGAGGATTCAATGAGATCACAAAGTCTATTATTTAACCACGAAAACACCCACCTCCACACCCCCGGGGGCCGGGGGGAGGGGGGAGCCAAAAAATCTCAAATGGCATGTTGGGTAGAGTGAGGGCTCGTTCGAAAGGGCTTTCCGAGACGAAAACAACGCAAGGTCACCGAGGTCTCCACGATTTTTCTTCGGAGAGTTATGATCATTTGAACATTGAGATTTTGCGAGGGCCCACAGCAGAAGAAAGGTCAGGCTTCACGCGGGCACGCGCGTTCCTGTGTGTGCATGCATGCATGCGTGCGTGTGTGTGTGCGTGTTCGGCCACTAAGGCAAGACCGCTAGCGTGTCCGGCCAACTAAGGCAAGACCGAAATAGGAACACTGGCGTACGTGAAGGAATAGAAACACTAATTATTTAATCAAATGTTCAAATTGATGTCCTTCGACAACTTGGCAGTGTCTTAAACGAACGTAAAACGTTTTAATAACGTTAGTTAAAAAATCGGGTGTGATTGAATTTGAAACGTTCACTATTTTTTCCCACATCTCTTCTAAATTTTCGGACCTAGTCTCATAGACCTTTGTTTTCAAATATCCCCAGTAAAAGAAGTCTAATAGGGTCAGATCTGATGATCTCGGTGGCCATTCTATTGTGCCTCTTCTACCAATCCATAGATCAGTGAAAACATCGTTTAAAATATTTCGAGCTTGCGGAGAAAAATGAGCTGGAGCCCCATCCTGCTGAAACTAAACATTGTGGAAAGCTTCTCCAGCAATATCTGGAATAGCCGGTATCACTTGGTTTCTTAGCAAATTGCAATAATTTTGAAAACAAAGATCTATGAGACTAGGTCCGAAAATTTAGAAGAGATGCGGGAAAAAATAGTGAACGTTTCAAATTTAATCACACCCGATTTTTTAACTAACATAATTGAAACGTTTTACGTTCGTTTAAGACACTGCCAAGTCGTCGAACATCAATTTGAACATTTGATTAAATAATTAGTGTTTTTATTCCTTCACATACGCCAGTGTTCCTATCTCCGTCTTGCCTTAGTTGGCCGAACATGCCCACACACACACACACACACACACACACACACACGCACGCACGCACGCACGCACGCACGCACGCACGCACGCATGCACGCACACACAGGAACGCGCGTTCCCGCGTGAAGCCTGAACTTTCTTCTGTTGTCGCTGTGAGCCCTCGCAAAATCTCAATGTTCAAATGATCATAACTCTGCGAAAAAAAATCGTAGAGATCTCGGTGACCTCGCGTTGTTTTCGTCTCGGAAAGCCCTTTCGAACGAGCCCTCACTCTACCCAACATGCCATTTGAGATTTTTTGGCTCCCCCCACCCCCCGGCCCCCGGGGGTGTTTTCGTGGTTAAATAATAGACTTTGTGATCCCATTGAATCCTTGTAAATTTCAATCTTATATTTCAAACCGTTCAACAATTATTTAGGTGGCCCCGAACTTTTGGTAGGCACTGTATACAGGGTGAAGAAAAACCCTGGGACCCCTGAAAATTTCGAAAAATATATACTTTATAAAAAAATATTTCAGACAAAAGTTGTAGCGTTGAAAAAAATCTATTTACTGATCTTAACAATTTGACCTTGGGTGGCGTCATCAAGGTCAGGACAAGATCCCCTTGGATTTTTTAAATGGAACCCCCAATTTTTTATTACATATTCTTGTAGTCCTTCTTTAGACCTTTTCAAAGCACTATGGTTTTAGTTTGAATAAGCTATTTCGAAGTTATCGAGTTTTTTAAAGTAAGATATCTAGCGAACTAAGGCAAGATCGGAGGATGATCCGGCAAACTAAGGCAAGGTCGTAGGATGATCCGGCCAACTAAGGCAAGATTGGAGGATGATCCGACCAACTAAGGCAAGGTCGGAGTGATTGAGCCAACTAAGACAAGATCGGAAGATAATCCAGCCATCTCATAAAAATAATTGCGCGACTAACTTCCAGGTGTTGGTTTCTATTGGCTTGTCTTAATTTCGTTGATTGATTTATTTCAGTTATTTATTTATTTGAACTGTTCTGCTATTCGATGTTTATTTCTTCCATTTACTTAGTAATTTGCCTTTTGCCTTAGTTGGCCGGATAACTTCTGACCTTGCCTTAGTTGGTCAGATCATCCTACGATCTTGTCTTAGTTGGCTGGATCATCCTCCCATCTTGCCTTAGTTGGCCGGATCATCCTCCGATCTTGCCTTAGTTGACTAGATAATCCTACGATCTTGCCTTAGTTGGCTGGATCATCCTCCGATCTTGCCTTAGTTGGCTAGACATCTTACTTTAAAAAACTCGATAACTTCGGAATAGCTTATTCAAATTAAAACCATAGTGCTTTGAAAAGGTCTAAAGAAGGGCCACAAGAATATGCAATAAAAAATTGGGAGTTCCATTTAAAAAATCCGAGGGGACCTTGTCCTGACCTTGATGACGTCACCCAAGGTCAAATTGTTAAGATCGGTAAATAGATCTTTTTCAACGCTACAACTTTTGTCTGAAACATTTTTTTATAAAGTGTATATTTTTCGAAATTTTCAGGGGTCCCGGGGTTTTTTCTTCACCCTGTATGTATATACAAAGAGGGAGAGGGAGAGGGAGAGAGAGAGAGAGAGAGAGAGAGAGAGAGAGAGAGAGAGGGAGGGAGAGAGAGAGAGAGAGAGAGAAGAATAAAACGATGACTCAAGAATATAAAAAGATTGTGTTTTCGTTATTAATAATAAATATGTAATTAATATCATAAAAAAGAATTTGTAGTGAGATTAATGGTTTGTCTTCTCAAGATATATAAAAAATAGGGTAGCACTTTTATATGTACAATTTATATTGAAAAGAAAGTGTTTGGTGTTTATGTAATTATAATTGCATAGTAAAACAATTATAGTTAGAAGAATTATTTCTATAGTAAGTTATAATGATTAGTAACAATAATTTTATTATTATTAACTACTTAATATTACATTATCATTATTACTATTTATAAACAATAGAAAGAGATATAGAAATATAGAAAAATAATATAAAAGTATAATACATAATATAAATGTATAGATATATAAAAATATAGATGGAACAACAAGGAAATATATAGTTAACGCCAAAAATAACAATAACTTCATTGAAATTAGTAAAATTATTATTATTTAATTATTATTCAAAAATTTCATATATTATATTATATTTTCGTTCTATATTGAAAAACTGTGCGCTTCAAATATATTTTTATTATATTTTTACTATTATTTCTATATTATTATATTAAAGGAATTTCCATTTGTTCTTTCTCGGTATGGAAGAAATAAATGGCGTTTCTATACAATAAGCAGTCAAACTTTTACAAGGATATCAAACAATTGTTGCCATTTATCATTTTAATTAACTTGATTCTGTTGCAGGCTCGGAGGTAGGTAAATTCAGCGACGTAACTATTTCGAGTTGTAACCCGTCGGACGAAAAATGCATTCTGAATCGCGGCAGTCAGACACAGGTGTCTCTCAAATTCACGCCATGTTAGTTTACGTTTCGACATCGTTGTGTTTCTTGCAATTCAATTAGTTGTTACACTCAATAAACTATTTCTACGACTGTCGATTCCTTTTGCAGCTAAGGACATCTCGAAAATAGAAGCGCGTGCTTTCGGTGTGTTGCTCGACGTACCAGTGCCATTCCCACTTGAGAAGCCTGATGTGTGCAAGGATGGCGGTTCTGGGGTCAAGTGTCCTCTGAAAAAGGATCAAGAAGTCGAATACAAAGCCTCGTTCTTCATAGAAAAGAGCGTTCCCTCGGTAATATGATTTTGTAGTTTGCGATTTCGCATCAATTCGGCGAGATGCCCATAACATTTCTTTGACTAAAACTCCATTCGATAATTAAAGTGATGGTCAGGTTTCATGAATCTTTTTAACTTTGAATTATCGAGTGAATATTTTTATTTGAAATTGAAGAACAATTCTAATATATACTCTACTATCATTGGAATAAGCCAAGATAACTCAAACTTTTTAAAAACGCTTAATAAACGTCTTACTTTTTTTTATTGACGCGTAGAAAATGTCTATACGAGGTTTTTCAAAAGATTATGTCTAAAAATTCATTCTAATTGAATGAAATGTTCATTCAATAATTCACAAATTTTCTCTAGATTTTTTACTATAGATTTAATCATCTAGAAATAACCATCTAGGTTCGTAGGTCTAACAGGGAAACCGTCGGAACTGTCCCTCACCGATTTTAATGGGCTTTGGGCATATTGTAGAGCACCTTAAAATATTAGATATGTATTTTTTTATCGGCATATTTCAAGGTTTAGAGGGTGAAACACTTTGAAAAGAACTAACATTTTCATTTTATGCGAATATCTTCTAAAGTATATACGAGGTATATGAAATGTTTCCTACAAAAGTTTTACAGTACTTTATACTGTTTGCAATGGTATATTCAGATTTTTCAAAAGTGTCAAAATTTTCAATCTCCCCTTCTCATCTCTTTAATATTGCAAAACTAAAAAAATTCATGAGGACAAAAATTAAAGAGCATTTGCCGAATCCATACACATATAATATATCCATATATAATAATATGGTTATGATTAATTTTTAGAAAAACGAGATGATATCGTGTTATAGACGCTATAAATAGGCGTTGTGTTATTTCTTTTCAGTTGCCCTGTAATCAATAACTGTCTCTTATATCTATTTCCTCATACTACAATATACAAGAGAATTAATTTTAATGACACAATATACAACTTATTACATGAAATAAAGATGTTAGATAGATGGACGTGCATATACAGGGTGGACTATTCAAAGTTGATAATGCGAAATATGTATTGGGTTGGCAAATAAGTTCGTTCGGTTTTTGTTTCAGTGTAAGTTTCATGCGGATTCGCTTTTCGTTTCTCAGCGCTATCGTGCAAATCGAATACACATTTGAAAGGTTATGTTTCACTGTGTGTTTATGTTGTGCTGTGTTTGGTTTGGCTAACATCAGTATTGTGTGTGCTGCGTAGCTGTGAACATGAAAATAAATAACGTGTATTATCGTCACATTTTACTCTATTATTTTAAAAAAGGCAAGCTGCGGATACTCATAAAAAGATATGCCGTGTGTATGGAGATGATGCCTTAACAGAACTCGTATGCCAAAAGTGCTATGTTAATTTCCGTTCTGGAGATTTCGATGTCAATGATGCACCCCGCTCCGGTCGCCAGACTGAGGTAAATTCAAGCGGCATTAAGGCTATAATCGAAGTAAATCCATCCCACTCTGTACGAGAGATTGCTACGACATTGAATACATCCCACACAAGTATAGAAAAGCATTTGCGTTAGCTGGGATATGGATCTCGGCTGGGATCTCGGATTAATGTTTGGGTGCCGCAACAATTAACCGAGGCTAATTTGACCACACGCATATCCATTTGCGATTCGCTACGGAAACGCCAAGAAAACGACCCATTTTTTAAACGAATGGTGACGGGTGACGAAAAATGGGTCTTCTACGATAATGTAACGTGTAAAAGATCATGGGGGCACAGCAGCGAGCCACCGCAAACAATCTCGAAGGTGGAATTGCATCCGAAGAAAATAATGTTCTCCGTATGATGGGATTTCAAAAGTGTCATCTATTATGAACTGTTACCGTCAGGCAAAACGATTGATTCAACTGTATACTGTTCGCAATTGACGAAATTAAACCAAGCAATCCGCACAAAACGTTCAGAATTGGCAAATCGCAAGGGTGTCGTCTTCAACCACGACAACGTCAGACCTCATACGTCATTGACCACTCGGAACAAATTGTTTCAACTTGGCTGGGATGTTTGCCTCATTCTCCGTATTCACCGGATTTTGCCCCTTCTGATTATCATTTATTTTGCTCGCTGCAGAACTCTATGAACGGGTAAACCTTCAAGGATGAAGAGGCCGTTAAAAACCACCTGGATTGGTTTTTTGCCGATAAGCTCCAGACGTTCTACAAACGCAGCATAATGAAGTTGGTGGAAAGATAGCTAGAGGTTATCAATAAAGATGGCCAATATATAATTGATTAATATTTATCTTGTGTATCAAAGAAATGTGTTTCATTTTACTCTAAAAAAGCGAACGAACTTATTTACTAACCCAATAATATTTTTTGTTGCTCTATAACATATCCAAAGCTCATCAAAATCGGTGACAATTTTCCGGCGACGAAAAGTCGAATAATTTCGACGGTTTCCTTTATTTTTAATACTGATTTAAATAAATTTTTATTTATTTTAAATGGTTTCACCTTAGGATATATAGTAAGCATTTAAAACATTTTTTTATATAGTGAAACTTTACGTAAAACAGCAGCTAAGTAATTCAAATTCGAATGATTTTTTGAACTCATATAAAGTGTATTATTTCACTTTCGATCGTTGAGCATTTTCATTCGAAATTGTAAAGCGAATTTGATACACTTTATTGTAACTCAAATAAAGTTGTTTTAAACGATTGCAATATTCACTTATACGAGTTAAAAGAAATATACAGGGTGTTTAGTTTTAATCGCCCCAAGCAAATATGTCGAAAAGTATGAAAGATACGGAAAACACGTCTCAGACAAAAGTTGTTTAGTTCGAGGGGGGACATAAAATGGTATCATTGGTTTGACCTTGAATGGACGTGCCAAGGTCACATGGAGTTAACTTTGTTTTTTTAAATAGAATCCCTTATCTTTGCATATTCTTGTAGCCTACCTCAAGAACTTTCCAAAACACTATAATGAAGCATTTTTTTAACTAGTCTTTTCGAGTTTTCAGGCTTGAAAGTTACAATTCCGCTCGCATTAGCATTATTCAAGATGCATCGGCCAGTGAAGGTAAGACCCAAGATTGATCCCGCCAGTGAAGGCAATATTCTGATCCGGGCAGTGAAGGTAAGACCCTGATTCAACCAGTGAAGGCAAGACTGATTGACTCTGTAGGATTACACCGAAGTCACATTGAATGTATACATATTTTTGATTTACAGCAAATGCTCAAATGTATCACCATTCTGTTACATACAATTGCAACTGTTTTCCGAATGCATCGACTGTTTTTCTGAGACCGTTGGCTGGTATACTTCTACACGTTCCTCTAATGCGGTCCTTTAGGTATTCAGCTGTGGTAGGTGCGGTCTGATAAACAATATTTTTTAAATAGCCCCATAAGAAAAAATCTGGTGATGTTAGATCTGGTGATCTGAGTGGCTATGCTCATGACCACCTCGTCTAATCCAACGGCGCGGATAAGTTAAATTTAAAAAGTCCCTTATAGGGCGTGCGTAGTGTGGTGGTGCATCATCCTGTTGCAACCACATACGTTGAACTGTATTTTCATCAACAAACTCTAACATCCTTGGCAACACATCCCGTAGCATACGTGAATATTATTCCACTATAACATTGTTATCAAAAAGGTGGGGTCAACAATATGACTATCTAAAATATCACACCAAAGTATCACCTTCTATCGATGCTGATTGTCTATTAGGTGTACAACTTTGCTTCCGCCGTTTTTTTCCGAAATTCGAGGTTTTATTGTAAAAAAACTAGTTATACATTTATGATTCGAAGTATTGTCCATCGCTGGCCACTACTTTCTCCCATCTTTCGGACAGCATACGAATCCCGCGTTGAAAAAACTGGTCATCTTTTGAAGCGATCCACGAATCGATCCAATTTCTTACTTCTTCATAAGACCGGAAGTGCTGGTCAACCAGACCGTGTGCCATTGATCGAAACAAGTGATAGTCAGAGAGCAACGTCTGGAGAATACAGCGGGTGGGGTAGGACTTCCCATTTCAACGTTTCCAAGTATGTCTTGACCACTTTCGCAACATGGGGTCGAGCATTGTCATGCTGCAAAATTACTTTATCGTGTCTCTCGTTGTATTGCGGCCGTTTGTCTTTCAATGTTCGGCTTAAACGCATTAATTGCGTTCGACAACGATCGCCTGTGATTGTTTCAGTCGGTTTTAACAGCTCATATACACTACGCCGAGCTAGTCCCACCAAATATAGAGCATAATCTTGGAGCCGTGAATATTCGGTTTGGCCGTCGACGTGGAAGCATGGCCGGAGTATGTCTATGATTTTCTGCGCTTGGGGTTATCGTAATGAACCCATTTTTCGTCTCCAGTCACAATGCGATGCAGAAATCCCTTCGGTCTTTGCCTTTCAAGCAACTGTTCACAAGCAAACAAACGCCGTTCAACATCTCTCGGGTACAAGTTTCAACTCGTACGGCACCCAATTTCCTTGCTTCTGAATCATTCCCATGTCTTTGAGGCGTTTTGAAATTGCTTGTTGAGTCACTCTCAATGATCGTGCCAATTCTTCTTGACTTTGACACGAGTCTTCATTAAGCAATGCCTCCAATTCTGCATTTTCGAAAACTTTCCCTCTTCAACCGTTATGCCGGTCTTCGACGTGAAAATCACCGTTCTTGAAGCGTTGAAACCATTCACGACACGTTCTTTCACTAATAGCAGTCTCACCATAAATATTTGAGAGCATTCGATGAGCCTCAGCCGCAGATTTCTTCATATTGAAGCAGAAAATTAAAACCTCCCGCAAATGACGAGAATTTGACCCGTAAACTGACATTTTCAACCGAGAATAACTTTATGATGCAGACACAAATCGACTAATGTTTCTATGGAGTTATGTTGACAGATGCCCAAGTTTATTGCATGACGTTTATGATCTATTTATTTCGACCACTACTTACCGCTAAAGCTGTCTATAGGAAAACGGCGGAAGCAAAGTTATACACCTAATACATGACGAACCCAGCGGATTGATATTAGAATAATAATGGCTATTATGCCGATTCAGTATGCTATTGTTCTCAAATGCAGCATCACCGCTAAACATGACACGAGAAAAAAATGTGACATCGAGTTGAATTTGAGCTACAGCCTATCTGCAGAATGCGACACGAAGAACTTTATCATTATCAGAAAGCTTCTGATTCAATGAAATGTGATAAGGATGTGATTTCCACGTAAAATTTTATTTACAGTCGCAGGACATATATTTAATTCACGACTAATTTAACGTTGACTAATGTGCGCATTCATTATTACCATTCCTACCTTATGATCGGGATGTCATCTATCTGGATACCTATCTCGATATTGATGAGCTGTTTCTCTAGCATTATTACCAGCAGCATAATAAATAGCAATCATATCACCAATTTCTGAAGGTGTGTAATCTGCCATACTGATAATGACACAATTAACGAAAGGGAATAAAATAAATTTACTTTAATAACTAAACGTATTGAATAAATCGTCGCAATGAGACCCAACTCGAGTCGATTTTAATTAAAAACAATCAGTTGAATCGAAGTCTAAAGTGTATTGTGGTAATACAGTTTACAACAGTGTTGGGAATGAAGTGGGTACAGTGAGCTGATTTCAAAGGCAACGCCTGCACTTCTCCCACTACCTCCCGAAGCGCGGCGGCCGAGTCGCTGATCGCGCGCTGAGACGCTCTGGCGCAGGAACGGTCTCGTATACAAAATAAGATGCGATTGCACCCTCCGTCAAACCACAATTAAAATATTTATTTATCCTTACAAAATAATTCTTACTATCATTGGTAATGAAATATTATGATGAAATATAAAAAATACTGTTTACCAGACCGCACCTACCATAGCTGAAGACCTAAAGGACCGCATTAGATGGGCATATCAGTCAATGTTCTCGGAAAAAACAGTCAATGCATTCGAACGGTCATTATGTATCTAACAGAATGGTGGTACATTTGAGCATTTGCTGTAAATTATATATAACACATCGATCAATAAGTCCCGGGACTAACTACTAAAACATTTGCTTGTCAAAATTCTTCCTTATTCATCAACATAGTCTCCTTTAAGAGCGATACATTCATTCCAACGCTTTCCTAACTTTTCTATGCCAGCCGTGTAGAACGATCTTTGGATTCAAAATAAGCGTTAGTTTCGGCAATCACTTCTTCATTGGAGCCAAATCTCTTTCCCTGGAGCATATTTTTTTTGAGGTCTGCGAACAGCCAATAATCGCTGGGGACCAAATCTAGAGAATACGGTGAGTGCAGAAGCAATTCGAAGTTCAACTCATGCAATTTGGCCATCGTTACCATCGACTTGTGATACGGTGTAGCGTCACTAACCACTGTAACTCAATGACACAATGTCGGAATGTCATGAAAATTTGACACGTAACATCTAAAGGTTGGTACTAACTGAGAATGGTATGGATTTGTTATTAGAGGCGCCATTTGTTGGTTAGTTCCGGGACTTATTGATCGATGTGTTGTGTATACATTCAATGTGACCGATGTGATCTTATAGAGTCAATCAGTCTTGCCTTCACTGGCTGGATCAGGGTCTTGCCTTCAATGGCCGGATCAGAATCTTGTCTTCTTTGGCCGGATCAATCTTGGGTCTTGCTTTCACTGGCCAGTGCACTTTGGGTAATGCTAATGCCGGCGGAATTGTAACTTTCAAGCCTCGTAACTCGAAAAGTACTGGTTAGAAAAAGGTTTTATTATAGTATTAAGAGTACAAATAAGTTTCCGCCGTTTTCTATCAAAAATTAGGAATTTATTGTGAAAGAACGGTACATTACGTTTTATTCAAAGTATTGTCCATCACTAGCCACTACCTTTTCCTATCTTTCTGGCAGCATTCGGATACCACGTCGGAAGAACTCTTCATCTTTTGAGGCCATCCACGAATTGACCCAATTTTTAGTTTCTTCATATGATGTAAAGCGCTGCTTAGACAGGCCATGTGCCATCGACCGGAACAAGTGATAATCGGAAGAGGCAATGTCTGGTGAATACGGCGGGTGGGGTAGGACTTCTCAATTAAGTGTTTCCAAATAGGTTTCGACCGGTTTTGCAACATATGGCCGAGCGTTGTCATGTAGGAGAATAATTTTGTCGTGTCTGGAGTAGTAATGGGCGCGTTTTTCCTTGAGTACTTGGCTCAATCTCATTAATAGTGTTCGGTAGAGAGCTCCAGTAATGGTTTCGCTCGGTTTGAGCAACTCATAATACACGACACCAAGCTGATCCCACCAAATACACAGCATGAGTTTTTTTCCATGAATATTCGGTTTGGCTGTCGATGTTGAAGCATGGCCAGGTGGTCCCCATGATTTTCTCTTCTTTGGGTTATCGTAGTGGATCCATTTTTCATCACCAGTGACTATACGATGCAAAACACTCTTTCTTTTATGCCTGGCAAGCAGCATTTCACACGTGCAAAATTGGCGTTCAACGTCTCTCGGCTTCAGTTCATATGGAACCCAATTTCCTTGTTTTTGAATCATTCCCAACGATTTTAAACGATGTGAAATTGCTTGTTGAGTCACTTCTAATGTAAGTGCAAGTTCTTCTTGCGTTTGGCACGAATCTTCCTCCAATAATGCTTCCAATTCCGTTTCTTCGTACACTTTCGGCCTTCCACTACGTTCTTTGTCTTCCACGTCAAACTCACCGTTTTTAAACTTTGGAACCACTCACGACTACTTCTCTCACTTAAAGCAGTCTCACCATATGCTTCTATAAGCAATCGATGCGCCTCAGCTGCAGATTTCTTCAAATTGAAGAAGTAAATCAAAATTTCCCGCAAATGACGCTTATTCGGCACAAAACTTGACATTTTCGCACGAAAAGAATTATGTGATGCTGATACGGAGTCACTAATACTTTAAGGTTATGTTGTTACCAGATGTCCAAACTTACGATATTACGTTTTACATTTGACAATTTTAACATAACCTTCTGGTGAGGCATCTTTTGTCAAACGGCGAAAACTTATTTACTCCTAACATTTTGGAAAGCTCTTGAGGTAGGCTACAAGAATATGCAATGAAAGATAGGGGATTCTTAAAAAAACAAAATGTAACTCCATGTGAACTTGGCACATTCACTCAAGATCAAACCAATAACGCCATCTTATGCCCCCCTTCGAACCAAGCAACTTTTGTGTGAAACGTTTTCCCATATCTTCCATATTTTTCGACATATTTGCCTGGGGCGACTAAAAGTAAACACTCTGTATATGACTTAAGCTCAATTGGAACATTTATTTTCACAATTTCAAGTATTTTTACTATTACTTTGAATGTTTTTTCATTCGTTTTGAATAAAATTCCATCCTTAAAAGTTCAAAGAATATTTAAAAAATTTCTTCTAAAGTAAATTTCATTTTGTGTAAAATAAAATTTTATTTCATTTCATTAAAGTGAAGTAACATGGAAGTCATTGATTTCTGATGATTTTTTATTTATACAAAATGAATTCTTTTATCTTCAATTGCCAAGTAAATGTTTTTGTTCGAAATTGAAAAACTGATCTGACGTATATATTCACGTAATGGTATTTTTATTATATTTTTACTGTTACATTTTACTGTTACATTTTAAAGGAATTTTTTTTGTTCTGAGTGGCATTTTGCAAAAGTTAGAAAATACTTATATAAATCTGTTCTCTCTTTCCCTTCTCTCTCTTTCTCTTTCTCTCTCTCTCTCTCTCTCTCTCTCTCTCTCTCTCCCTTTTTCTAACAGTTATTTTCATTTCATTTTTCAGCTGAGTGTTGACGTTGTATGGGAATTTGCAAATGAAGATGACAAGAAAGTGGTATGTGTGAAATTCCCGGCGAGGATCAAGTAAAGAGCTTGCATCATTCCCGCGGCTTGCATTATGACGGATACTTATTACGCTTTGGTAACGAGATGGACATGTAACCGTGCATCTACGATTTGTAGTTGACGGATTTCATTATCCACATTTCCTCGCAACACATGTCGACGTATTAATTCAATGCAAATTTTACCTAATAAAATTGTGAAATGAATAAACGACAAAGATAGTTCCGCTGATGTGGATGGGGTTATGTATATTTTTTATTTTATATCTCTCTAAATTTATATAAGATAGGTATCCAAATTAATATATTCGCATGTGTTTTAGCATGTTGAATTTCGTGACCTGTCGATGATCGGCATTATGATATTATCGCGTCTCGTTAAGTTAATTAATTGCATAATAATTGCAAAATAATTAACTGCATTTGAAAAATGGATTGTATGGCTAATACAGATCCTCTGAAATGAGATACAATATACAGAGTGGTTTAAAAGTCTGGAAACGGCTAATTATCTCTGAAAATAGCAGTCTTGCAGGAAAATATTTCAGATAAAAGTAGTAGGGTTTTAAGTAATGCATTACATAGTAATATTACATAGTAATATTATTATGACCTTTAAGAGTGTTGTCAAGGTCACATAAAATCCATATTTTTATTACATGCTCTTATAGCTTATCTCAAAAGCTTTCCAAAATACTATATTTAAGTTATTGGGTGAGTGCAAAAGTTCGTGCGGAGTTTCAGTAGATGGAGTTATAAGCGTCGTAAAGTGTTGTCATTAATACTTCTATCTACATATTATATAACGTTGGAAAGGTGACGTCTTCAGCTGTTATTAAAAAAAAAATCATTTGTTTTCTTACAAACTGCTTCGAGAAATATCACTTTAAAAATGAGTATCGATAAGGTGCATTTACGGCATGTTATGCTTTACGAGTTTCGGAAGGGAATAAACGTTGCCGCAGCCGTAAAAAACATTCAGGATGTTTATCAGGATGAAGCACCAGCTAAACGAACTGTGGAAAAGTGGTTTGCTAAATTTCGGCGCGGAGAATTTAACCTTGAAGATGAGCCACGCTCTGGTCGACCTTCTGACATTGATGACGATGTTTTGCGTACTTTAGTGCTCAATAATCCGCGAATTTCAACAGAAGTTGCTACAGCACTAAACGTTGACCGATCAACCGCTTTTCGGCGTTTAAAAAAGATGGGACTCGATTTGAAACTCGATATATGGGTGCCCCATTTGCTGACCGAGAAGAACAAAATCAAGCGAATTTCTGCAGCCGTTTCTTTACTCGGGCGGCTCAATAACGAGTCGTTTTTGGATCGACTAGTGACGGGCGATGAGAAATGGGTTCTCTACAACAATGTTCAGCGCAAACGGACATGGAAACAATCAGGTGAGCATGGTGACGCAATGCCAAAGGCCAGTTTGCACCCGATGAAGGTGATGCTCTCTGTTTGGTGGATTGCAAGGGCATAATCTATTTCGAGCTTCTCCCCGCTGGCGAAATGATTGATTCGGACAAGTACTGTCGCCAATTAACCAATCTGAATCGAGAAATAAAAGAGAAACGTCCGATTTTGTCAAATCGCAAGGGAGTCGTCTTTCATCACGACAACGCCAGACCACACGTTTCGAAAAAGACGCTGCGCAAACTGAAGAGCCTGAAATGGGATGTCTTAACGCATCCACCGTATTTTCCTGATATCGCACCATCTGACTATCACTTGTTCCGGTCATTGCAAAATTATTTGAATGGAAAAAACTTTAACTCTTTCGAGGCCTTAAAAAACGGCGTCTCTTCGTTCTTCGAATCTAAACCGCGCAGTTTTTATGATCGAGGCATCCGTATGCTGCCAGAACGTTGGGAAAAGATTATAGAAAACGATGGAGAATATATCATTGATTGAATAAAGATTTTTGTTTGCCTAATCACTGTGTGACTTTTACTCACAAACTCCGCACGAACTTTTGCACTCACCCAATATTTTTATGAAGTACTTTCCGAGTTATGAGGCTTGAATGTTATAATACCGCTGGCATTAGCATTACCCAAGGTGTACCGCGTGGAGATTGCATTGTCGGATTTACACCTCTGTTGTGTGTATTGTGTGTATATGTATATGCGTACGTGTTGTAAAGGGTGTCCTAAAATTCACGCAAGAAGTAATTTTGATAGAAAACACAGATTTATAATTAAAAATTGTAAATTTTTATTGATTCATAAAGTATACAGTATAGGGTTATGTATGGAATAGCATATCGGGTGGCTCGATGCCTCGACGGCTGCACGACGGCCTTCGACGAAATGGCCTCCACGGCTTTGCTGGCACATATTCACTCTTTTGTTGAAATTTTCCATGACTGTTTTGCATAAATGTGGCTGAGTTTCGTTGATACAGCGCTCAATTTCCTCCTTCAAGGCGTGAGTGGTCGTGGGCTTGTTGGCATAAACCTTAGACTTCAAAAAACCCCAACGAAAAAAGTCCAACGGCGTTAAATCGTATGATCTGGGTGGCCAAATCTGATTACCAAAACGGGAAATTACACGACCAGGAAATGACTCATGCAGTAATTGTTTCTCGGGCTGTATGGCATGTGGCACCGTCTTGTTGAAACCACATGTCGTCCACATCCATATTTTGCAATTTAGGCACAAAAAACTGGATTATCATGTCGCGATAGCGAGCACCATTAATTGTTATTACCTGACGCACGGCGTTCCATCGCCACCTAGTACGCCCTCCTTCTTTTATGGTGGATCCCCCTTCGGCGCTTTGCAAAAACATGTCCAAGCGCCCGGGGGCAGCCAAAATATGGCGTCGACCCCGGGGCTTATTTCTATGATTTGCACCGGATAAGGAGGGACAACGGTGGAGGCCGGCATACATGGACAGCAGGTCTTAAAGGATAGCAACCTTTGACTTTGAGAGACCACGAGCTTGTACCTCTAGGTACAAGTAACAATGCCTCTCTCTGTAGTCGCCGTACGCTCGGGATAGCACTAGAGATGTCGCTTCCGAACGACATCTCTTAACATTATCTAGGGAGAGGAGAGTATTGTGAGCGTGGAGAGTCAGGTAGCTCAGTGGTATAGAGCAGTTGCCTGGCAAGCGAAAGACCCGGGTTCGATTCCCGGTCTAGCGACTACCGTGCTCTCGATACTTTTCTCTCTTCGGAACGAAAATAAGATGCAGATCCCGAACGCACAGCATCCCGTCGCCATCTAGTACGCCCTCCTTCTTTCATGGTCTAAGGTTTATGTCAACAAGCCCACGACCACTCACGCCTTGAAGGAGGAAATTGAGCGCTGTATCAACGAAATTCAGCCACATTTATGCAATTAATGGTTCATCGAAGAGGGACCCACTATGAAAGAAGGAGGGCGAACTAGGTGGCGACGGGGACGCCGTGCGTTCGGGACCTGCATCTTATTTTCGTTCTGAAGAGAGAAAAATATCGAAAACGCGGTAGTCACTAGATCGGGAATCGAACCCGGGTCTTTCCGAGCGACTGCTCTAGACCTCTGAGCTACCAGCAGCCGCATTTTCGAAGAAGAATGGTCCGATGATGTCCCCAGCCCAAAATCCGCACCAAACAGTGACAGTGTGGATGCATTTGTTTCTCAACAATCACTCGTTGATTTTCTGAACCCCAAATGCGACAATTTTGTCGATTAACTAAACCATCAAGATGAAAATGAGTCTCATCGCTGAAGATGATTTTGTTCGAAAAATCAGCATCCATTTGTTGTTGTTTCATAATCCATTTAACGAACTCTCTTCGCTGTGCGTGGTCAGTTTGAAAATCGTAAACTGTCAGTTGTCATGCTGTCTTTTTCGTTGGCAGCACTTTACCGCACAAATGGCGCAAAATTCAAATCTTGCGTGAATTTTGGGACACCCTTTATATACCGATTTTTAAGATTTCACGAATCTTTTAAAAGAAATGAAGATTATTTAATACTTCGTATTATTATACGGAAATATAATTTTTGTGGGAATTTCCAACTACTGATGAAACGTTTAAGGAAGGAGGAGATTGTCACGATATGTAATGTAATTCATACAATCGATACGCTACCAGATATGTAAATATCAAACCGGAATTTTTGTATAGAAAATACACGTTTATTGTATGAAAATGATAAAAAATATTTTATTCGAAGTATTGCCCATCGCTAGCTATACATTTTTCCCATCTGTCTGACAATTTGTGGATGCCACGCCAACAAAACTGTTGCTTTTTTGAGGCAAACCAGTCATCGAGCCATTTTCGTACATTTTCGTAAGAAATGAAGCGCTGCTCAGCAAGTGCGTGTCCCATCGATGCAAATAAGTAGTAATCGGACGGAGCCAAGTCTGGTGAGTAAGCTGCATGCGAAAGTATTTCCCAACTAAACGCCTCAATCGTTTTCTTGACCAGTTTTGCTGTGTGTGATGGTGGATTATCATGAAGCAAAATCACTTTGTTGCCTTTTTTGATATTCTGGTCGTTTTTCACGCAAAGCTTGATTCAAATCGACCATTTGTTGTCAGTAGCGTTCAGTATGAACGGTTTCGCCAAGTTTTAGCAGCTCATAATAGATCACACCCTTCTGATCCCACCAAACACAGAGCATTGTCTTCCGTCCATAGCGATTTGGCGTTACAGTCGATGTCGATAGTTCGCCTGGAGTTACCCGTGATCTTCTATGCTTAGGATTCTCAAAATATGTCCACTTTTCATCGCCAGTCACAATTCAATGAAGAAATGACTTTTTTTTGTACCTGGCGAGCAGCATTTCGCAAGTGGTTTTTCGATTTTCCTGCTGTCTTTCATTCAGTTCATGTGGAACCCATTTTCCCATCTTCTGGATCTTTCTCATGGCTTTCATACCTATGGAGACGGCTTCTCATGTCACATTTAATTAATCCGCGAGTTGTTGTTGCGTTTGAGCGTCATCGTCATCCAACAATACTTGCAATTCGCTGTTTTCAAACTTTTTCGGTGGTCTTCCATGTTCTTCGTTTCTCACGTAAAAATCGCCACGTTTTGAATTTTTTAAACCACTCAAAGCACTGTGATTTACCAAGAGCATGCTCACCGTAAGCTTCGACAAGCATTCGATGCGATTCTGCAGCAGTTTTCTTCAATTGGTAATAGAAAATCAATGCTGTTCGCAAATCGTAGCTTCCAGGCACAAAATTCGACATGATCAACGCTATTACAAACTATGCTGTTGT